AAAAGAGAAACAGCCATGAAGGGTGTGTGGCACGCTGCCCTCTCGGAGACGGGCACCGGGACAGGCAGATGACAGATGCAGGGTGCTACCTGGGTGCACATCCGGACATGTCACACAGCACAGGAAGCTTGGGAAGCTTACAGGAGAACCCTTGCTGGGAAACAGCCTTTAAAACCGGAGGTTTCAGGGGGTGGGGGCAGTGCGATGGCCTGGTTGGCTAGTCCTCTGCCTTGGAAGCATCAGGACCCATATGGACGCCAGCTCACATCCCGGCTGCTCCACTTCCCATCCAGCTCCCTGCCTGTGGCCTGGGAAAGCAGTTGAGGACGGCCCAGGGCCTTGGGACCCTGCACCCACGTAGGAGGCCTGGAGGAAGCTCCTGGCTCCTGGCTTCGGACCAGCTCAGCTCTGACCTTTTCAGCCATTCGGGGAACAAACCAGTGAATGAAAGCTCTGTCTCTCCTCTTCATAAATATGACTTTCAAATAAATATTAAAAAATAATAAAACCAGAAGGAATGTGTTACTAGCATCTGGCACATAATGGCTCCACACCCAACCAGGAGAATCAGCGGAAGCAAGATTCCTGTGTCTAGGGGTTCCTGACAGGTGGCCACTGGCCAGGGCTGGTCACCCCTCACCCCTTGCCACAGGGAAGGTTGCTGGCTGTTCCCAGGGAGGCCCCTCCCCGCACCCTTCCACTTCTCTCCTTCGCCCTCCTCCTCCTCTGCTGCATGACACCTGTCCCCAGCCCCAATGTGGCAGCAGCTCCCTGGGGACAGAGCTGGCACACCCCCTCCAGCAGCACACCCAGGACCTGCAGCCACTGCGCACCGACTCATGGTCCCAGTGCACTGGGGGAAGGGGTGCTAGGGTGGCAACTGGCACCACACCACGGAGATGCCCCGCTCACCGCACCCCAAGCTGCCTCCCAGCAGGGCAGAGCTGAGACAGCACCCAAAAGCATAGCCACAGCCCCCTGGGCGCCTGCCCTGGCCTTGCCCGTGCCTCAAGGCCTGCAGCCCACATTCTCCACCCGCCCCAGCCTGCCCCGAGCCTGGATTCCCAGGGGGCTCCGGCTCTGGGAAGAGGGAGATGACCGTGCCCAGGGGTCAGGGTCACGGTCAGATCCTTATCTCTTGCCCTGGACATGAAAACAGGATGTTGGCCTTGCCAGTCCCCAAGGACCGAGCAGAACTTTAGGAAAAAAGGAAAAAATAGAGCGAGAGATGCCAGACAAGATACTCGCCTCCTCCCCGGAGGCGGCTCGCGGCGGCCGAGCTTGCGTGGGCGAGGGCTCCGGAACCCACTGCAGCAAGGGTCAGTGCGGTCCCACCCTCGGGTTCTAATTCTAAACGGGCCTGCACAGGACCAGGCTTTCCCACAGTAAATCATGGCCTCCAAGGAAGGTCTGGACTGCTCCGGGGTCCCCTGCCACTCTCCCCACCTCAAGGACATGCTGGGAAACGTCCTGAGTCAGGCAGGAAGGCGGTGGCTTCAGCAGGCTGGGCCTCTCCATCCCGTAGCTTTATTACATGTAGCTAGGCTAGGCAAGGAGTAGGAAAAAGAGACAACATCAAAAAAAGGAGAAGAAAAACCTGAAGGTTAAAATCCTAAGCTGCCTAGCCTGGACCTGCTTTCAGGGACCAAGCCAGCACCTACGCCAGGCGTGAGGCTGGTGCAAGAGGCAGGAGGGGGGGCGGCACTGGGGACCACTGAAGACGGGTGTGGCTGCTGCGCCTGGCCAGCATTCCAGGCATGCAGACCCCTCGGCCTCGACGGGGAACCCTGTGCTCCTGGGTGGGCAAGTCACCTGCATGTCCGCATGGCACGTCAACCTTCGGCGATGTGGGGTCGCTGCACCCAGAAGAGCTGCCTCCGACTTGAGCTTTTCCACCTTCTCCAGCCACAAGAGGAGTGTGCGGCCTGGCTCTTGTCCCCGGCCTGGGAGCTCCTCCGTCCGGGCGCCGGTGGGTGTCCCCTCACCCCAAGTACCCCAGAAGTACCCCAAGTGTCAGCCACTAAGACTTCATCTGTGGTCTCACGGCGCCACCTACTGGCCGCCGCGCCTAGTCACCTGCGGCAGCAGCGTGCTCCGGCGCCACCTGGCGGGAGCCACCACCGGGCGGCGCAGGTGACTTTTCCTTTCTGAATCCAAGACTGAGAGCTGCAAAAAGTGTTCTGGACCCTCTGGGCCGTGTCCTGACTGTCGCTGGGGCTCTCACAGGAGCCCAAGAGGCAGCACTCTGGACCTTGAGTACCTGCCTGTCTGTCCTGAGCTGCTCCCTGCGTGGCAGTGCCCAGTCCAGTGTGTCTGCCCTGGTCAGACCCCTGGCCAAGCATCCCCCAATGCTTTCAGAGCAAATGCTGGCCCTTAGGCCTAGGATAGCTCCTAGGGTCACCACCTCAGGGAGGCCCTCAAGGACCCACTCCTGCACCACAGCCCTCTGCAGTCTCTCCAAAAGGCCGGTGGGAACTGAGATCAACCCCACCTACCCCAGGAAGGGGCAGGAGCTGTGCGCGGGCAACTTAACCACTGTCAGCTGTGGGGGTAGGGTCGGGACCAGCAGGTGCCGAGTGTCCCTGGGCGAGTTGCTGGGCAGGGCATCGTGGCAGGTCGCAGAACTTGTCTACCACTGTACGCCAGCTGCCGTGGGAGCGAACAGCACAGGCTCTCTGGACCCCGGACCCTGCCGGTAATTCTGGCTCTGACTAGGAAAAGCCATAGTGTTCATGATTGTATCCGGTGGTGCAGGCAGCCCCGTGGGGTCTTCCTTCTCCTTTCTGTTCCCATAAGGATCATTTTCTTTGCAAAGTAGAACACGGGTTTAGCACCAAACAGACACCCAGGGAGGCACATGTACCTGGGTGGTCACAAATGCACACAGCAGCAGGGATGACAGGATGCCCACCCAGCTGGGACTGGGCAGCGTGTGGACCTGTGTCCCGCAGTGCAGGCTGAGACTCGGAAAGAGGTAAGTGGTGTGTGCTTGAGTTTCCACCAAACATCTGGACCCCCAGATGCACGGTCGGGGTCTCAGGCTGAAGCCTTCCAGTGTTACTGTGACAGAATATTCTGGAACTAGGTAGTCATGATGAAGGCATTGTGGATGGCCCAAACACTGCTGGTACTGCACAGCCATTTGTCACCATCTGAACGGAACCTGGGGCTGTGAGATGGCTGCCAGGCACGCAGGACAGTCCTGCCCACAGGCAGATTGCACGCATTCTGCAATGATCTCTATTTAGAATGGAAATGAGGCAATGGACGCCCCTCGTGACGGCCCTGCACCTGCCCGTGCCCGTGTCCAAAGAGCTGCAAACTGCACCAGATACTCAGCCACAAACGACGCGTCCACACGCGTCCCTCCGCAAGGAAGCTGGGCCAAGCCTGTTAGTAGCTTCTTGTCAGGCAGGCACAGCTTCCCTGGAGGTGCCAACACTGTTCCACACGCACACACACATTCCCACACGGACACACACACGTACAGCCCTCAGCTCCACGTCAGTGCGACTTGCTGTCCCCACCGGGTCTGGGGGTTATAGTTGAGCCATTTGCTAGGTGACCAGGCCGGGGAGCCCTAGGGTACAGGATTGGTGGGCAGCTGTGCCCAGGCTGCAGACACTTCCAGGGGCATGGCAGCCAGGCGACCTCTCCCCCACCCTGGTTTGCAGGGCTGTGTGGATGGGAGCCCTGAGTCCCACACTCCCTAAATGTTGGTGGGCGTCTGTCCTCTGCCAGGGGCATCGTGAGGCAGAGCCATGCCCCTGGTGGAATGTTCCAGAGCGCACCCTGTGCCCCACGGCACTGGCCCCGAGCCTGCGTGGGCTGCCGAGGACACCCCATGCTGAAGCCATGCAGGCTTCCGAGGAGTGACTTGGCCGCCGCAGGGGCTGCCGGCTCTGGCTGGAGACTCCTGATGTGCCGTCTGGGAACTGGGCCGTATCGATTCCCGGTGAGCAAATGCTTTAAGCAAATTAAATGCCGCGAGTAATCATCGCAGCCGGCATAGCCCATTTGTCAAGGGTCCGCTCTGGGGCCCGGCATCTCCACCAGGGACTGCCAAGTGCTCGGTACAGATGGGGAAGCTGAGGCTGGGCCCCCAGGTGCCGGTGCTTGACCTGATGTCTGGGAGGCCACCACGTGCCCCAAGGTGAGGTGGAGCCGGGCCTCAACTCCCGGCAGGCAACATGGGAAACACCCGTTAGCCAGTGCTGCTGCCCTGCAGTCTGCTCTCACAGGGACGTGGGTGTGAGGACGGCTGAGCCCACACAGGGGCCTTCTGCTGACAGGAGGGGGCTGCGGGCTGTGGGGAGGGGGCTGACGCTCGCTCAGTGTGTCAGCTGGATTTAGTGCAAAGTCGGGCCTCCCGCCCCCGCCCCCATCCTTTGGACACCCTCCCCACGCACTGGGGACCCTGCCTAAGTAGATGTGTGCCCCTGTCTCCTCTCTTTCTCTCTTGTAAAATAAACTTCTTTTACAAATGGCTCTTGTGCGGTATCCACAGACACTGCAGTGGCGGCCCGGCCAATAGCAGCCCGGGGCCTCTGGCTCCCGGCGAGCCTCGTGCCTGCGTTACGCAAGCTTGCTTTTGCAAATGGCATTGTGTATGAGCAAGGGTCCTCGGGGACCTGCGAGGGCTCACAGACCCTGCGACACACAGAGCAAAATGTCACCAGGCAGAGCTGGGCGCAGGCCCCACGTCCGGCCAAGCCTTTGATTAACTGGGGGGCATATGGACAGAAGGACTACCAGCCACCCCCGGGCTCCACCGCCCACCCCAGGTCTTGGGCACCGGTGCCAAGCCATCGGCCCTCCCAGGAACAAAGGCAGCTGTGGAGTCATGCCCCTTGTTAAGCTAAAAGGGTGCCCGGCTTCCCCCCCTCCGCACACCTCATTAGCTAAATGAGCTGACCTCCTGGGTAAGGGGGCATTTAATATCTGCCTGTGGACTGGGCGAACGTTTGCCGGAAACGAGATCTGGCTTTTGACACCGCTGATGCCGAGCAGTTTTGTTTTGTTTTTTTCTTCCCCTGACGGCGATTTGTCAGACAAATGGCCTGGCTGGCACAGCCACGTCGCCTGATGCAAAACCGCCTGAGCAGCTCAGACCTTTCTCGCTAGGACAGCAGGAAATACAGCCAATTAGTTCGAGAGCCAGACGCGGTCCCTGGGCTGCCGGGTGTCGCGGGCCGGAGCAACGCTGCCCTCCGGGACTCTGGGAAGACAAGCTGGGAGGGCCCAGGCCCCCATGCCCCCTGGCCAGGCCATCGTGGCCCCGGGCAGGTCTCGGGTCAGTGTTCTTGGTCCCAGCATCTTCAAAACCTTCATCTGTAGCTCTGAGAAAGTCTAGAATGTTCTCTCACAAAAGTCAGCTGTATCTCCCACACAGCTATCCCACACCCCGTGGCAGCCACGTAGCTGGCCTAAGACAGGGCACAGGCTGTGCAGGGAGAAAGGCAGTGCCACCCAGGTCCCGGCAGCACGAAGTGACAAGTGACCAGAGGGGCCACCTGGAGGCCCGGGGTCGACACAAGAGAAGCAGCCTGGTTCTGCCTGCCGCGAGCCCGCTGCAACCTTAAGCTGCGGCTTCCTCTGGTCTCGGGTCGACTCGCCATCTTTGCACAACTACAGTGAGTCATCAGATCCTATCTGCCCCGCTCCCCCTCATCCCCCCTCATCCCCTCAGAACCTTCTGGAACACTGCTCGCCTTGGGGGCCTTCGGACCTGGGGTGGGAGGCTGATGAGCTCACGGCCCACACTGCACCGACCTGACACAGAGGCGAGCTTGCTTTGCGCCCTGGCAATAGCGCGATTACCTCCAGCGTTCTCACTTCCGTTCTCACAGTGCATTAGATGACTCCTGAAGACACGGAGGTAATTGGCTCCCATCACCCCGGCAGCGTGATTGGCGGCCCAGCACAAATAGCTCACAATTCGAGGCCGGCGTGGGAGCCTGCGCCCACAGTAATGGATCGCTAAGTGGGCACAAGCTCTCCGGCCATCAACACCCCAGAGGCCTCTGCACACAGGACGGGCGGGCCGCTCGGACTCCCGCTCACAGTAATTGCCCTGTTTTCCTGCCCGGCTGCGCGCTCCGGGGCCCGAAGCCCTGGCTGTCATGGTGGGAGGCGGCCGGCCGGACTCCAGTCCTGCCCCTCAGCGGGGCCTTCCACCTGGCCAGCTCGCGGTTCAGGATGGCTGCCTTGGCCATCCAGTGGAGGAGAAACATGCGGCGTGCGCTCTGCTTGCGATTCAGGCGGTGTGCGATGGAAATGGGGGTCTCCCCCTTGGCGTCCTTATCCCGGATGGAGGCCCCGGACTGGAACAGCAGGTTGATGCATTCCAAGCGACCCATGGCCGCGGCCGCATGCAGCGGCGTCCGGCCCAGTGGGGTTTTGCCGATGCAGCTGGCACCTGTAAGACAAGACAGAGGGCCAGGCAAGGCCACCTGCCTGGGACTTCACAGACAGGGGAGGCAGGACAGGGGTGGGGAGCCTCATGAGAGAGAGCCTGGAGAGTTCGAGGGGCTCCACTGCAGTGTGTCACCAGCACCAGCCAGTGCCCCCTACCCTGCCCCAATCCCAGTCCTGCCCCCGATGGGAGACGGAGACGTTTTAGGGCTTCTCTGCTCTAGCCTGCTCTGCCCGTCTCTTTTCACTCATACGCTGTCCTTGCCCTGCACCCAGGCTCCAGTGACAGCTGTCAAACGCACAGACCCTGCCCCAGGCCCTTTGCACGGCTCAAACACTTTGCTAGCCACACTCTCATCCTTCCTCAGGTGTAACTCGCTTCCTTTCTCCCCCTTCCCCATGAGACCCCCTGAGGAGCTCCACAAACAGCTGCCTGTCTTCAGAACTCCCAGACATGGTCTCCGCCAACCCCGGGAGGGCAGCGTGCGTCATGGTTTGTCAACACATCCTCCTAAACTCCTCGAGCACAGAAAACACGCTTGTTTTTTGTCGCTGCCGTTGCCCGGCGTCGTGAGATAACAGATGACCAGTGGCCTGACTCATAGGCCACTCTGCTTCGACTGGCTCCCTCACCACCCCTGCAGAGGCTAATGACAGGTGCCCAATACGGACTTGTTGAATTGACTCAGGTTCTGGGTAACAAATATCATGACACAGAAAACAAGGCAATTCAACAGGATCGGGCGGACACGGCAGAGCTGGCCCTTCTGGACTGGGTGAAGTCTGAATCGGCTTTCAGCATGCTGGCGCCCACCCTGGCACCTCTTCCCAGAAGCTGTCTACAGAGGACACGAAACTTTGCAAAGGCAACTATAATTTTTCATCTGGTGCCTTCCAATGCATCACAGCGCTGTCATAGTGCAAATGCTCTCGACAAACGTGAAGGGTTACCAGGCCGGGCTGAGTTCCATCTCACTCCGGGGATAGGCCAGGCACACGGCAGGGGGAGATGAGAAGGAGGAGGCAGAGGCGGTGGCCACAGCGGCCCTGGCCCCACCCTGCGATGCTGTCCCACCTCAAGAACGCCGAGCAGCTGCTGTGTTTGTGAGACCGAGCTGCCAGAGGTCAGGGTCTGGCAAGGCTCGTCCAGGGCCTGCGGCTGTGGGCTGTATCTGGGCAGTGCAGCCTGGAGCCAGGCCATGGTGTCCCAGCTTCAGACACAGCAGGCAGGACACGCCTAGCAGGCAGTCCAGTGAGAAACACCCAGGACTCGCTCTTGGCTGCACCTATGGCCTGATGTCCTGAACTCTCCCTCCTGGCCACAACGGTCACCTTACACGTGGCCAAGGGGACTATGACTGGCCTGTCCGGCACACACCCGCACTGGCCGGAGTCAAGTCGGGGGTCCAGAAGTGCCACGGGGCACAGGGCTGCACTGTAAGAGCCTGGGGGCTGAGAGGCCACGGCTGTGGGGGTCTGGCCCAGGGCCTCCTGGGTTCCCTCCCAGAATTACCATGATGAAGCAGGTACTGGACAGCCTCAGCATGACCCCTGTGGGCCGTAACATACAGCGCCACAAACGCCCTCTGAGCCGTCCACTGCTTCCACGCGGCGCCTTCCAAGTGCTGTGAGAACGGCGTGCAGTAGAAGGAGTCCTTGCCGATCCCGAGACAGGAGAGCTGGGGAGGTGTGAGATGGGGAGTGCCAGTTGTCACCTGTCAACGCTCTGCCGGTGTCCCTGCTCGGGGCAGGCCAGTGTGGCCTTGGACATGACCCCAGCCCCTTACTTGCTCAGGAAGCACAGGCTTGCCCCAGGTCAGCAGAACATCCTCCTGGCAATGTTTCTTAGGGGGGGGAAATTGTGTCCGGAGGCAGGCGGTCGTGACCGCTGAGGCAGACGCCAGCCGGCGTGAAGCAGGACCGCCGGCACATGGGGTGCCTTCTGCCGAGCCTGGGCAGGCGGCCTTCCACTGCCCTCTGTGTGCGCTGGCTCCCAGTCTCGGGGACCCCAGGAAGGGCGGGCTCAGTGCTCATCACCTCGTGCTGAAAGGGGCTTCTCAGTGCTTGAAGGAAACTCTGGGTCTGCCCGGACCCCAGAGTCAAGCCAAGGGGAGATTCAGACTCAAGACCTCAGACCAACAGAGGTAGCCCCCAGCCAGACAACAGGTGATACGGAAACGCCTGGGAGAAAAGCAGGGAAGGCCAACCGCGGGATGCCCGTGCCAGGGGGTGGCAGCCCCATGCCCCTTCTCGGGCCCCTGGTATCAGCAGCCTCCACCCACCAGCCTGGTCTGTGTCTGAATTCCTTGCGTAGGAAGCACACACACCGACACCTGCAGGCCCACGTGGGTCATCTCCCCGGGTTTTCCTCAGTTCTTATTCCCAGTGCTCACCCCGGAGCGAGCCCTGAGCTGACCTGAGCATGAGACCTGGTAACAGCCCGAACCTGCTCACCCCAGGGCCTGGCGAGGGCCCCGCCACCACAGCGTGCCATGTAGGACCTGGAGTTCCATCCCTGGGGGGCTGGGGGACCTTTCGCTCAGGGACGGGACAGTTCCTGTAGCGTCCAGGCGGTGACAGAGCACGTGGGATGGTCAGGTCCTGACCGCGGCCCTCAGGGTCAGGACGTGCTCCGTCCTGTCTCCCTCCCGCCACAGCACCCACCTGCTCCAGAAACTATACAACCTGCTTCAGGAAGTGGAGATGTACCTTACTGGGGTCCCCGTCCACAGCAGCCAGCACCAGCTCTGTCCATCCGTCATAGTGCCAGATGCACAGAGAGATCACCCCGCCGGGGACGACGTCATGGAACCCGAGGGTGCTGCCATCCATCAAGACTCCTACAAGGGAACCAAATTGTTTTTTTCCTTTAAAACATTGACTTTTAAAGATAAAGTATTGCATTGGCTAAGAGATCATCTGACCTTGGACACCACAAAGGTAATTGGAGCATCTCGAACACAAATCTCCTTTGATAATTCTGCAAGAGTCTGTCGTCGCTAATGCTTTTTAGAAAATTAATTTAGCTTGGCTCAACCAGAAGCCAGGGGAAAAAAAAGCATCTGTAATTATGACTTGTTCTATTGCGGAAAACAAAATACATGAGCCAGGGAAGTTATTATATGCGGCAAATAGATTTCTGCTTAAACTTGAAGTCACCGAGCTCCAGCACCGTGCGGTCCTCAACTCATTCAGGACACCAAGGCACCACCTGTCATGCTGCCATTAGCCGGCTACCAAGGTGACCACAGCAAAACAACTGGATCCTGCAGGAGCAGCTTGGCACACCGGGCACCCTGTGGGGAGGCTGCCCAGGGCCTCACAGGCCGCCTAGCAGCACCCCTGGCTCCCACCCTCTAGATAACAAGTCACACCCAGGACCCCGGGAGCAGCAGCTGTGACCACGCGTGACGCAGCGTCAGTACCCACTGGGGCTGGACTGCCTGGGGTGGACCCCAGATGCAGAACTACGTGAGGCCGTGCGGCATGATGGCCTTTCCCCGTCACACACACACACGCTCCCACTGCCTTGCACAGCCGCCCGTGACGCAACTTGGGGACGACAGACAACACACGGGATGGACAAATACGTTTTCTTCACAAGCAAGAGCCTGGCACGGGGTGCCCGCTGCCCAGGTGGTACCCGTCTTCAACCTGTGTTGGCCGGTTTCGTCATCCCATGCTGGCTTTGCGCTTGTGGCCTGTGGACCTGGGTCTGTGTTCACTCGGGACCTGCCATTTCATAACCCGCAGGGCTAACTGCCCCAACACAGGGTTGCTTTCATCTGCAGATAAACAGGTTGGCAAGGCCAGCAAGCAGCCACGTGGCCTTACAGGCAGAGCTGCCCCGCCCCAGCACCGCATACTCTGCGCTCTTGGCTGGGTGGGCACCGCCTGGGTCCCTCCCGCCCTCCTCCATCGCAGAGCACAGGAAACCTTAATCCGCAAGTCTGTCCGCGCTAGGCTCAAACGTGGAGGACCAGCAGCAATTACTCTGCACAAGGCACCTTGGCTTCTAGCAAGTTTGCGAGCACCAAGAGCCATGCGGGACTGGTCAGGGGGCACTGTGCCCATGTTCAGACTGGCTCCTGCAGAGATGTGATAAACGGCTGCTACTCTGGGCTAAGCGTCTCCGGCTCCATCGAGTCCCAGACCTGCCAGCTCAGCCTTCCTCTGGGACCTCGCTGGCCCCCTTGGATCGTGACTACAGAGGCCCGCACACCCATGATCTCAGGGAGGTGAGCAGGAGAGGCGCCAAGCCCACGATTTACGGGCAGGCATCCAAATCACGCCGAGCCATCTACCAGCACCTTCTCGCCCTCCTGTTTACCATCCGTGCCGGGCACCGGAGCAGTGCAGGCAGGTCAAGCTTTTAGCCGTTGCTAAGTGACTGCTGAGGGATGGTACTGTGACATCAGCTATAGTCACCCCTTCTCTCACAGTCCTTCTTTAGCACCCCTGAATTTACTGCTCAGTCTAGCTCATCGGGGGAAATAAATGAACAGAAGGGGTCTGGACATCTGTCACGGAACAGCCGTCATGTTCTCATTGCTTGTTCCGAGAGTCTTCCGAAGTTCTCCCATAACGCCTCACTTCTAGCACGAGACACAGACTGGGTCCCTGAAGCTTTGCGCTCCAAAGGAAGACTTCTTGGGTCCAGGAGCTTCTTCTCAGGGCTGTTACAGCCGCACGAATACCAGGAGAAAACGCTCACCCCAATGGCAGTCGGGCAGAGGATGTGAAAAACGCTCACCCCTAATGGGGGGGCAGGTGGAGGAGGGCTGTTTTGGCCTGTACCCTGGTGTGGTACTTTCCTGAGTCACTTCTGTCTTACCAGAACGACAGGCAGAATTCTAGAGCTCGCCCAGCTCTACTTTCCAGCTCAGGAGACAGGGCGCTGGGGCACCAGCCACGCCCATGGCCACTCCGGTCCCTGCATGCCCCCTGCAGTCTCAGCGATGAGCCCTGCATGCCCCCTGTGCAGCAGCCCAGACGGCTTGGGGCTTTGGTTTGGAAATACTTGGGTTTTCTCCAAGTGTTCTGCTTTGATTTCACCCGGGTGGGGAGATAATGGAGCCCAGGACTTCTGATCCTGTCCCCATAGCCTAAATCCTGCAGGAAATCGGGGACGTGGCCAGACCATGGGGCTCTTGGGGACAATGGGGACTGTGCAGGGTTGTGGTATCCTTGTGTGGACACGGCTGAAGGGAATACGGATTTTGGTATTCACAGCCCAGTTCTGGTACTTAGGGCTTGGCTTGCCTGATGCTTGGGGTCCTGAAAGGGGCAGGTTTAACCTGAGTTTTGGAGTCCTGCTGAGATGAACTTTGCTCCAGGCTTGCAGGCTGTTGTGTCCCCACACTTGGCCCGGTATTGTCCCTTGTGAAGAATGGGAATTTCCAAGTCTAGGCTGAGTGGGTGGGTGGGTGGGTGGGTGGGTGGAGAGGGCTCCTGGCACCAGCAGGACCCTCACAGGGAGTGCAGACACAGCCTGACCCAGGTGAGGTCTGTCTTACCAGGACCACCTTGACAGTTGGGGTCCAATGTGATGGCCCCAGAGTGGCTCTCTCATCTATGGGTTCAAGGTATTGGAATTTGCTTTGTGACACCCCCCCACCCCCACCAAAGGCAGGCTTTCCTTGGGCACTTCAGGGTACAGGTGGACTGGGCAACACCCCTGTCCCCGGTGGGGCGCTCAGGAGCCGAGGAGAGGGGCTGGGGCAGGGGCCACCTTGGTCCAGGTACTGGAGCCGCTGCAGGTTAAAGGGGATGCCGGCCATGAGGTCCAGCTCTTCCTTGAGCTCGCGCACGGTCATGTCCAGACGGCAATTGGTCACCCGGAACATCTCCCCCGTCTCCTCCAGCCGCACTCGCAGAGAGAAGGCTTCGGGAGCCCAGTCGAGCGACGTGCTCCAGCCTTGGAGGTCACCAACGAGCCGCCTGCTCCCGCTGCTGTGAACCCAGGTCGGCGACGGTCCGGCCGCACACCCGGGACCGCCCGAGCACACTGAGCCCGTCCGGGCCCCCGCAGCACCCCGCCGCCCGGGCGCCTGCATTGAGGGGGGGGCGAAGGACGCCCCCAGCCTCGGCGCCGCCCGCGCACCGCCCGCCCGTGGCCCTGCGGCCGGCGCGCGTCATCCGGCGCCCGAATGCGGTGGCCGCGCGTCATTGCCGCCCCCGCTCGGCCCGCCGGGCCTGTGCGCCCGCGCCCCCGCCCGACTATGACGCCCAAGCCCGGCCGCCCCCGCCAGGCGCGCTGCGGGGGCCCCTCCGGCCGCCCCTCACCGTCTCCCTCTCTCCCGCCCCCACCCCGCGGCGCTGCCGGGGGCCGGCTGCCCCGCGGACGCAGGAGACGGTTCGTGGGACAGTGGAAGAGGGCTTGGGCCCCGGGCGAAGGGGTGGGTGCGCTGTCCGAATGCCCAGCACGGGGCGCCCACCGAGGGCTGAATTTTGGGTCGTGTCCCAAGTCGTCCCAGTTTCTGAGCAGAGCAGGGAAGCCGGAGGCGGGGTGTGGGGTACAGGTGGTCCAGAGCCTGGCTGTGGGAGCCTACCCACCTCCCCACGTGCCTCCAACCACGGAGCTGTCAGGGCCCCAAGCAGCCGCAGAGGGGCAGGGGAGACAGGGTAAGGGGGGCGGGATCAGATGTGCTCATGAAGAACGGACTGTCCTCCCCGCAGCAGGCCTGGTCCACCTGGCACAGCGGCCCTGGCCACGCGGGAATGGGGAGACGGACCTGCAGGGGCGGGTGCACCGACTCCAAATGCCCTCAGATTGTTGGAGGGGAAAGGTGCCAAGAACCGGCGCTGGGCAGTTGTACTTTGTTGTTTTGTTTTTGTCTGTTTGTAGGGTGTCTGCGACTTGCTCCTGGGCAAGGCAGGATGGGTTCTGTGCTGGGGCACCTGTGGGGAGCCTCGCCATCCATTCCCCCAGGGACAAGAGGGTCAACGCGGTGACGGGACCAGGTCAACCCTGGTGCTAGCATTATGTAAAGGTACAAACGTGCATTGGGATTCAGCCAGCATGCTCCACGCAGCACAGCTTAAATGAGAACTTAAAGGGTTTTTTTTTTCTCCCCTAAATGCAAAATTAAGTTAGTATAGAAAATGAGGATCATAGCCGAATGACTCCATTTGCTGATAGATCAACAGATTTTTCACAAAATGATAATCTTTGGACAGTTAAATAGTTATGAAGGCAAAACCTCCACATGTTTATCATGGCGAGTGTTAAACATAAGAGAGGATGGCTTTTGTTCCTAACACACAGGCTGCGCTGTGCCTGCCTCTGTGCCGTGGCCTACATCCATCTTGGCGGGCAGGCTCTGGTGGGGCAGGCTCTCGGGGGGCAGGCTCTCGGGGGGCAGGCTCTGGGGGGGGCAAGCTCTCCAGGGGCAGGCCCTGGGGGGGGCAGGCTCTCGGGGCGCAGGCTCTCGGGGCGCAGGCTCTCCAGGGGCAGGCCCTTGGGGGGGGGGCAGGCTCTCGGGGGGCAGGCTCTAGGGGCGCAGGCTCTCCAGGGGCAGGCCCTGGGGGGGGGGGCAGGCTCTCCAGGGGCAGGCCCTTGGGGGGGGGGCAGGCTCTCGGGGGGCAGGCTCTGGGGGGGGCAGGCTCTCGGGGGGCAGGCTCTAGGGGCGCAGGCTCTCCAGGGGCAGGCCCTGGGGGGGGGGGCAGGCTCTCCAGGGGCAGGCCCTTGGGGGGGGGGCAGGCTCTCGGGGGGCAGGCTCTGGGGGGGGCAGGCTCTCGGGGCGCAGGCTCTCGGGGCACAGGCTCTCGGGGGGCAGGCTCTCGGGGGGCAGGCTCTGGGGGGGGCAAGCTCTCCAGGGGCAGGCCCTTGGGGGGGGGCAGGCTCTCGGGGCGCAGGCTCTCGGGGCGCAGGCTCTCGGGGCACAGGCTCTCGGGGGGCAGGCTCTGGGGGGGGCAGGCTCTCGGGGGGCAGGCTCTGGGGGGGGCAGGCTCTCCGGGGGCAGGCCCTGGGGGGGGGGCAGGCTCTCAGGGGCAGGCCTGGGGGGGGCAGGCTCTCGGGGGCAGGCTCTCGGGGGCAGGCTCTCGGGGGACAGGCTCTAGGGGCGCAGGCTCTCCAGGGGCAGGTCCTGGGGGGGGGCAGGCTCTCCAGGGCAGGCCTTGGGGGGGGGCAGGCTCTCGGGGGGCAGGCTCTGGGGGCAGGCTTTCGGGGCAGGCTCTCGGGGCAGCTCGGGGGCAGGCTCTGGTGTTGTG